GAGCTAAGCCATTTTATTTTTAAATTATTATAATTTGTTGTATCTTTTAGATTTTATAATTTTACTTAATTTTTTTAAAACATTACTTTGTATTATAATAACATTAATAACAGTCTTTTTTATTGTATCAATAACAATGATGTATTGGTAATAAAATAAACATGTTTAATTATTTTTAAATGTTATTTGTCAAGGAATCAAATAAATAATAAGCATATTTAATAAGTTGTTGATTATACTTTGGTGGACAATGCAGTCGAAATGTCGAATAATCAGACACAAATACAGAATACTGTGAAAAAAATTACTACAAATAAAAATATCTGAGTGATGAATTGATGACCCATAGTTCTAGACAAATATAACTAAGTTAACACAAACCATACATGCAATTGATAAATCAATTATGTCCAAAAAATAAATACAAATAAGTATTTACTTACTATCCAATGGTTACAAACTCAACACCTAGTGCTGACTGACTTCTTGTCTGCAACTTTCCTGGCTACAAACCATTAATAATGGTATGTGAACTAATTCTATAACACAAGTTATGAACATTGTCCACTTGGCCAATATTTAAATGGTTGTTAATTTATTCCATTGATCTACAAATAACATTCTAAAATTATAATTAGACAATGATAGGTAATGGTGATAACTTTGAACCAAAATCACCAATAACAGCAAAATTTGATTTTTTTCAACTTCTTTTTCTTAAAAAAAAAAAAATAATAATTTGCTTGATCATAACAAACCTTAATATCAATAAATATCGCACAATCACAACGATAAATAAAGACAATTTCCAAAATTAACATTATTGTGTTAAAAAATCCTAGATTTATTTTTAATTTMAATAATAATCAATTGTTAATGAATTTCTAACTCTATAGAGTTTGCCAATTTTTGTGATGTTTATGAATTTCGTCGAAATTTTAACTCCAGATGCTCATAAAAATTATGTGGATTTACTCTTATTTTTTWAAATTTACACAAACAAMCATTTATGAGGGACATTGTATTAAATTTTCAAATTTTTTTAATGGGGAAAAATTATTTTAATCGACAATAGTCAATAATTATATATAATAATAAAACTCGAAACTTTCGTATGCCTAAATATATAAATAATAAAATAAAARGAGTCCCAATACTTCAAAAGTCATATGGTTTAGAGAAATTTTTTATTTAAACATTAAGTGAATATTTTATGTAGGTATTTAATATTTATTTTCATCCGAATTTGAACTTAAAATAACTAAAATAAAATCATGTTTGTATAGTTTTAAGATATTTATCGTCACAGAATTAACTACTCACATGGAACCTAGTATTAAATTTTCAATCCTTATTCCTTAGCTATATAAGTTGAACCTTTTATACATTTTAAAGAACTACATAATTTGTAAATTTTTAATTAAGTAAGTTTCGTGAAATTTTGAGCTTGAAATAAATTAAATTGAATTAAATTTTCAAGAAAAACTAAAAACTGAAAATTTCAAATGTTTAYAAATTACTTTAAAATTGATGAATTTTATATTGTCCAAAATTAAATTTGAAAACTCGACGATGATGGTGATGGAAATTATTACAATTATATAAATAAAAATGTATAAATTAATGTTTTAATTAAATACATATTTTCACACTACCCATTACAATTTTTTTCTAGTTCTWATGACTACAGTCTAGTGGTCTAGTCATCTCATGACTCGGAGAGTAGTCTTTAAAAGATATTAGTTTGAAAAGGGCACCACAACCAAAACATTTTAGAAGCCGCTTACTATTGCCATATAGAGGGAGGGGTATAGTCTATAAATAATTATTAATCATCACGAATTAAGATATGTTAATTCTTGATAATCATTAATTGTGAGAACAATTTTTTCATTTTTTCATCAATGCTATAATTGTGCTATTACTATGACATAGACTATATTATAGTCACTATAATATATTTAGTCCTTGGCAATTTGGCACCAAATCTTTGGTGGCATAGACAAACTTGTACTATAATAATTACCATTAAACAAACACCATTCATTCGGTGTATGAATACAACATAGACCTATTAGACCTATACCTGCTGGTCAATGGAATACAACAATGTCAACAATGGTCTAATCCACCTTGGCTTAATAATAATTTATCCAACGTCCAATGATAACGTTGCGGTCGCTTCTCGTTGATAACAATGTTTGGATTTGTAAGTTGGAACCACGATTACACGAAGCGTCGTAGAACCCAATACCGATTTATTATAGGTACTACTACTACTACTACATGACAATATAGACGATAGTTTAGACATTTCAAATTTCAAATATGAACACTGGTAAACAGGTTGCACTTAACGTAAATAATTGAATTTTAAGATCTTCATGAAGAATATTTCGTCATATTTTTATTGTGTTTGTATGCTATAATTGTATTTACATGTGTCTGTGAAACTGATTGATATTGAACCATGTCAAAACGACTATCTACCGAAATCGAGATTTCCGCCAAAGGTATATATTTTTGAACAGAATTCCACTTCTCAAAATTCAAATTTTTTATGTTGTTTTTTTTCATAGACGGTGTTGACAAAGAAAAACAGCAACCCGATAAGAAACCAAAATTATCATTTGGAATGATGAAAAAGACTCTGCCAGCCAAAACCGGAATTAAGATAACTCTCAACAGCCCTGCCACTGTAAGTTAATTTACAGATTTGAAATGTTGTAAATGCTCAAAATAAAGCAAATTTTTCAATTTTCAAAATCTTAGAATCTTTTATTACAATATGATATCTACTTGTAGAAAGAACCACCTATTCTACCTAAACCAGCGTCAAAGTCTGTTGCGGCAGTATTTGGCGATGTTAGTGATGATGAACCTGAAGAAATGCCAAAAGAAGCTAGAATGCGTATGAGAAATATTGGTAGGGATACTCCAACATCAGCCGGACCCAATTCATTTGGAAAGACTAAGCATGGATTTTGCAATACAGGCAAACTGATGGAGAAGACACTTAAAGAGGCTACAAACGCACTAATTGATGATAAAAAATAGTTGTTATATTTTCACAATTATTGTGAATACTGTATTTAAATTTTTTGCACAGAATTAGTTCTAAATATTAATTAAGATACCAATGACTGTGTATTTATAAAGAATTATTGAAAGGATATTTATCCCTTAGTCCAATCAATTCACCTATTTTTTATTTATTTTACTGTATAGTGTATAAAATATACAAGCAATACATATTGTAACAAATTTTTTTTATAAGTATTAAAATAAAATTCATACTGTATTCRCCGTGTAAAAATATTTTATCCATCATAGTTATGTGAAAAGATCTATTCTCTGAATAATATTATGTTTTTGTATCAAATCAATTTTACTATTAAAAATTAAAAACCAATAAAAAAAAAATGTCTAATACCTATTTGTGGATACCTACTTAATTGCCACTAAATACAGATATATCCTTCAAAGAAATTATTGGATAATATATATTATTCAATTGAGTTTTCCCAGTCTTTTTGAACCTTAAGTCAATTTGTTTTTTAGAAAATGGAAAGTAGGCAAAAGGCAACATTATATAATACATTAATTTATTAAATCAACACCTTATAGATTGACRATAATAATATCCTAAAAATACTAGTCATGTTTAAAAATCTTACTTGTAAAAATAATCAGATTGTTAACTGAAAATTAATCATTATAATAATTTAAAATTGTGGACAACAACATAGCAAGTTTTATCATTTTATTTAAAAAAACTTATGGGTATGCAAATAATATTGTAAATTGATTTACTCACAACACAAGTTGRGCTTAATGGAGTTTATTAATTAATTAGTTAATTTATATATTATTTTTATCAGTTAATCAAAAAATTTTTTATTGGATTCAATAATATTGCCAATGCAAAAATATAAGTTTCAAATCTAAATAAACCATGCAATCAAAAAGATAATTATAATCGGCATCAGTTAATCTCAGATCAATGATATAAATATTATAGGTACTAGTAATTAATGCTGTCTATTGCATTACATATATTATTGTATTGAATTAATATACTTTAGATTCTGGGTGAAGCGATGAAGATATTAATTTTTGTGTCTGTGTACACGATAAATAGTAAAGATAATGCTTCGATTTTTTTAGGGCAGGAAATTGAATTGAATGTATTTAATGCATTGGTGAAGTTAAAATTATATAACAAATGGGCCACCAACGGCCCACAGATGTTTACCTCTGGCCTAATAATATTAATATTATATTATATAAGTGTACATTAAGGGAATATTTTTATAGACGGCTGCAATATTTAATCATATCAAAATCTTACAAACGTGGAACATAATGCCAGGTTTCACGTAGTATGCACGTGTAAACATGTACTGGTGTGCAAGTGAAATGATTGCATGCATAGAAAAATAAAGTCGAATAATTCCAACTTAACTGGCGCAACAACAAACATGCACGTGTAAACCCAGCATAATGCTATTAATTTGTCCAATATTCAAATATACATTTAAAAGCCATATCAAATTATGGGAAATAAAATTTAAAATATAACAGACTTGTTAAAAATTATCAATATAATACTCACTCATATTATTTGTGACCTATTTAGAGCAATATGAGAAACTAGAAATTTTCATTCTGATACCTTATATTAACATTTGATAAAGATTAAGTCAAGATGTCTTTAGAAGATTAGATAAGTCAATTACCAGAAATTAATTTCATGAGGCAAAAAGAATTAAATATACTTGAAACATATACAAATGAACTTTCCAATCATATGACAACATTAATTATTTGTAGTACAGTGAAACCTCTCTATAAAAGAATCGCATGAGACCAAACATTTTTCTGATATAGTTTTCTGTCGTAGAGAGATAGAAATTGCATATATTATTTTCACTGATACTATTGACATTTTCCTTTTAATATATGATCCATTGTAGTGATTTTGCTTTACATATTTTAAACTAGGAAGATAAGGTTGACAAAAATACGATATTTTATTTTCGTCAGAATCAAAATGTATTTTTATATCTTAAATGAAGGTATAATATAATTTTGTATCCCCATAATACAATGGGAATTACGTTTTCCTTTGAGGTTGTCCTCCTTGGCGATTATTATCCTGAAACACAAAACAATAAATCATAAGTGCTTGATAAACATAAATAAATAGTGCAATGAATATATTAGTAAAAAATAATATTACATTTTTCTATTGTTTAAAAGTTATTGTTATGATTAAGCTAACTCTAATAATATATTAAAATATAAAGACTATAAAATATTTGAATATTAAAAAGTTTATAAATTTAGTAACAATTTTAAGTAAATCTTACCCCACGTGGGAAGTTACGGCTTGGTGGTGTTCTGATACGACGGTCGGCCTTTGATCTGTTCCTGACCACTTTGGAATGGATGGCGCAAGAAACACAGTAGTGCAATTTAGCATATAATTTCGGCAATTGGTATGCTAAAAGAAAACATTCTCATCAGTGAAAGTTCAAGTATTTTAGATTTATGTTCACTAGCTTTATAAAACATACATGTATATACACTAGCATCAGTTATATCACGAACAGCGGCGGCTTCGACAATATTACGAATAACAAATTTCTTGATAGCCTTGTCTTTGGGCACACACCGTGCGCAATTGGTACAACGCACAGGCTTGACGTGACCACGGCCATGTTTTGATCTTCCTCCATTACGGCGCTTACGAGTCTAGAATTTAAAATTAGTTAAATCTTGTAAGTTAACAATAAAACAACCAATACAATCACACATTTTATAAAATAGAACACATGGACAACTATTTATTTTTTATACGCTATTTAAAATACCAATATAAGAGTAAATGTTATAATTTATCGACTATGAAACTGAAATAATTTGTATATAAATTTACTTACCATTTCAACGTCGGTTTAAGGATGAAAAACTAAAAGATAAATGAGAAACCAAAATCAAACACAACTCATCAGGTTCAAAGGACTAGAAATCGAATGGACGACATAACTCATAACCTCACAAAAATAATTATTGGCTGATTTGGTAGCGATGGATTACATATTTCATGGAAAAAAAACTAGTTTTTGTGTTTTTAATCGTATATTTATATATAATATACTATCTATGCATAATAATTTTCCGTGTACATGGTTAGCCTGTATTTGGCGCTATAGATAATTTTAAACCTCCAAATATGATAATACAGATACAGAATTAAAATTAATAAAATTAATAAATAAATAGGWACCTACAAAAAATAATTTATTATTTATCTATAAAGTTTATATGTAGTGTACTAGTGTGCCGAGAGTACACAACGGTTAATATTCGCTTTTAACATTATTAATGTATATTAAATTCTAGCTCTGATGTGGTAGGTAGGTAGTAGCCATTGGTACCTACCAATTGTAATCCAAGTGAGGATAAGTAGATAGTGATGATAGATTGATAGGTCATAGGTCATATATGAGAAGAAATGACTAGGTGGGAGTGAAATTGACTTGGAAAATTAATGTTAAAGAAAAGAGAAGGAAAGAAAGACTGTGGAAGAGGTTGATGGATAGGACAGAGAATGATACGAAACTAGCTGTCACCTAAGGTGCTCGCAAAAATATAAACCTGCGAGGGGACAAGCAGGAGGTAGGATTGATGAATTACAAGGGCTAGAGTCCTAAAAATCCTAAAACTTAACAACCTGTGAGGTCCAGAGCCCCCACATCCTCCATTGTCAGTCACTGGAATTTAGGAGTTACAAAGAATCAAAATGTKACCTTAATGTCATTAAAAAAAAATGTAAATAATAAAATAAGTATRTTATGTTATAGGTATTAATTAAAGGTAGATCACTGAATCTATTTTGGATTATAGTCGACCCAAAGTATGTTTTAATTCTTTTCATACTCGAAAAATAAAATATTAGTAATCCATAATATATGTACATAGGCGCGTTAGGGACTCAGAGCTGAAACTTGAAGCGTACACGATACACGTAAACAGTATTATTATAACCAATTATTGTAAAAACTCCGTACAAATTGTACCCAATATTCCATTTTTAGCCGGCGGAATCCCCCCCTCATACTCCCCAGCACCCACTTGAGACTTGAGTGCCCTAAACTTTCACCGCATGAGTATTGAGTACTTAAAGTAAACGTCAAAAAAAGCCTTGCAAAAAATTGGTACTYTTAATTAGATTATTATTCTTTATGATAATTATTTTATAATGTCAAATTATACTGGATAAAATTTTGTCTATAAAACCTATTATTAAAATACCTATTACAATATACAATTATACCTACCAACTTAACTTACGTCCCTAGCTTAGGTAATCAGGTACTATATTTTTAATATACCTACGGCACACCTACTATCTGGCTTCTATTTGTCTATTTTCCTTTTTCGTATATCTTAAATTCTATTGTATATGATAGTTTTCAAAAGTTTAAATGATATTTTAAACCTACAAATATACAATTACATAATTTAATATTAGTAATGAAAAACAATATGTTAAGCGTAAGTACCTAAAAGCAAAAAAATGAATAATTATGTTAAACTTATTTAAGACGACGCTACACCCACATGTGTTATCTCCATCTTATAAATGTGTAACATAAATACCTATATCAAATTTTACGCTCAGCAGATCACGTTTAGCTCCGTTAGTTTAAAATTTAAAGTGAATTAACCTCGTATACAAATTAAAAGTAACATTATTTTCGAGGGCTTTTTTTTGGATTTTTATTATATTTTAATTTTATAACGAGTTAAGTGTAAGTATTTTAAAATTGTAAATATTGTTTGTACATTCCAAAATACTGATAACTCACTTAAAAATTAAAATATAATAATAAGACCGTGAGATGCCCCAGATAATTATCTTGTCATTAATTTTTATAATAGATCAATGTAATCTAAATTTTAAACTATCGGAGCTAAACGTGATCTGCTGAGCGTAAAATTTGGTATGCTACGCATTTGTACGAGTAGTACGACAGAGACAACACATGCGGGTTTGGCGTCCTCTTAATACATGAATATTGATTAGGTTATTAATAATAATAATAATATAAGTGATTCTGATAGGTAATTTATCCTTTTTATCAGTTGGAAATTTGGAGTAATATTATTTTTTAGAGAAGAATAATCTTTTTAAATTCCAGCAAGAGAACTAGAGAACAAACTTATTATTATATCCAGCTATCCCTATTTATAGTTTGTAAATAATTGTTTAATTTCTTCTGTGTAAGAAAAATGTAAGTATAAAAGGGTTGTTAGGCTAGTGGAGAATGACTGGTTTAATTTTAAATTTGTTTAATTTTTGTTTTGACTCACAGATTAACTAGGGTACTATAGTACCTATAACCTATTGAGTTTGATAGATCGTTTGATATCATAGGAACATATAAGAAGGAAATGTTTTGGTATATTGACTATTTTGCTACTTTCACTTGATAAGTGACTTGGTACAATGGTATCCTCAAGAGTTCATTAAGTTAATTTCCTTTGGCTTGATGAGTAAAAAATAGAAATGAAATGGTTAATTTTCATTGCCATATCTAAGGTTTATACCAATAACCTATGTGTGTTTGCAGAGCTTTAAATTGTTCTTAAAGAGAAGAGTAATATATTTTCAAATGCATATTTAAAAGATTTTAAAATKACATGTGCTTCAGCAGGGATATCCTAAAGAGCATTCATGCACAGTGGCGCTGAACTATATTTTAAAAGGGGGAGGGACAAGTAAAAATTAATACCAACCACCACCCCTGTTTACAAAATAAAAACCATATATTTTAATAGCTTAGGAGTTAGAAACATAATTCATAAATAATTTGTTGGGGTACCCACGGACCACTACGACCCCACCCACCGTAAAAAAAGGGGATGTGGTCGCCCCTTTTTGMAGGTTATAGGTTCGGCGCCACTGTTCTCGCGTGATACTTTACAACTTCTTCATAATAAAATATGTAATAGCAATTCTCTTTATGTATTTGGTTAGTATTTATTTTTTAAAGTTGTTACTTTGGTGTCAGTATAAATTTTGCTTTATTTGGTATATTTAGATTAGAAGTTTCTAAAGTCTTGTACACATATTTATATGTAATGTATTATCATTATATTCTAACAACTCATTTACCTCGCCACAAGCTTTGCTTAATGGGGTAAATGTTATATTATTCATATAAAATAATAATAATAATAATAGTAATAAGTCGATTTTTGTGCATATCAGCAAGACAAGTGAAGATTTTTACATCGATATATTTCATTAATGTACATGTACCTATGTACCTATAATGCATGTAAATATTGTTATGTGATTTTTGTATGAATTAAAACTTAATTATTAATTTCTATTTTTTATCACATTATGGTGCATGTTGTGAATTTTAAAGATAATTTTTATGTATGTGTAAGTATTTAATATTATCTAATGATAATCTAACCTTAGTCCCTATGAAAATCACTGATTCAACTTGTCAAGTAGCTAATATGTACGCAATACCTATATTTTAGTACAGTATGTTACAAGACAAATCAAGATTAAAATGCACAATTCATATAGTTATTGAATAATTGTATTAACATGAAATAAATTAATAAATTAACAAAATATAATTTATATTGCACTGGATAACTATAAAAACTATAAAAATGTAAAAAAATCTCATAATAAATTATAACCCTTATAATTAATTGTTTATTGAAATATACAATTTTTTTAGATAACTTTGGCACGTTTTGATCATACAATACTTTCCATGTTGTTATTGTCAGGCAATACACTTAATGATTTTGGCATTTTACTGCTTTCTATGACAGGCACCGTGCCATTCTCCATCAAATCTAAAATCATAAAAATGTATTTATCTATTTAATATAAAATACCATGTTTTTAGTTGTTGCAGGCGCGGACCGGGGGGGGGGGCGGCCAAAGGGCTATGCCCCCCCGCCGTAGACGGGTGGATTTTCTATTATATATATTTTTGGCGTTTCGGCCGTGTCCGTTTTTATCGGTCTCTGTCAAAAAGCTAATCTAATACCTACCTATCTATTTTATTATTGACGATATATTTTATTGTGTAATGATAATTTGTTACCTATAGTTGACATATTTATATTTAGCTATAAATATATAATCAGTACCTACCTATTAATTAAGATCGATTTTATAAATATTTTTTCATACATAGGAGAGCCTCAGACAGTGGGAACAAAATTCAGACCGAGAGTTTAAATTTATCCATACCACCCTCTATATTTATCAATTTAATCACAAAAAATTTTTCTCGAATTATATAATATTTATATTTACCTACTTCAACTTCAAATACAATTATATAAATATTAAATACATTTAATTTTATTCATTATTAAAAATCTATAAAAGTATTTTAATCACTATTTCGCTATTTCGTTTAATTTTTTATGTGTTATTTAATATAATAATATATCACTTATTCAGGAAGATGTTTTATTCCTATAGTTAAATATTGAAACTTKAAACCAATGTAATATTATTAATTATATATTGTGTTTTAATGATTYAGATATACAAATTACGCGTTTAGGTACTATTTTTTAGAATAAAATCTAATATAATTTAGTCGGACCACCAGGTCATAATATGATCCAGGCCGTCTGGAAAATTCCCATTCCCAAACCGGCCACTCTGCCCCTGGGAGAGAGGGTAAGCATTTACACTTCTCAATTTCACATTTCACATTATTTTGTTAATTCAAATTTAAGTGCATTTCTTTATTATAGTATTAAAGTGATACTGATGATAAAATAAATTCCACTTACTGGACAATGAAGGTGATGGGCCTTGGGAGTTACTAAACATTTTAGTGCTATATCCAGAATCATTACATGGTATATCTTCGTGACGTCGAGCTGTCAGATAGTCTAACCGCCATCGTAAGTTTGGGTCCATGACCGTGGTATCAATAGCACATTCTGTTCGAAACCGGTTTTCCAACTCGCTGTCGTTGTCGCTCACTTCTTCAACCACCTGCACAACACAAGTTTACATTTAGTGTTTCATATGTCATTTCCACTATTATACAAGTTCATGAAAAGTTTCCGGTCTACGAATATCGATTATATTGTTATATAGACATGGTCAAATTGCTATTTTTTGAAAATGTACGGTTCTTTTTCATTTATCATCATAAAGAATAACAGATTAATTATTATTGTTTCAACCTAACTGTGAAATAAATCATAAACCAGTTTATTTTATGTATAAGTAGATGCGTATTAGGTAGCACAGAAATGTTTTTCCAACATTTAAGTTAAGTACCTATACCTGCCTAATTGGTTAAAAATATATATTTATATTACATAGGTGCTCGCAGAAATTTTTCTAGGGGGGGGGGCAATGTTAGGATTTGAGGATAAATATTATAATTTTACTATAGGTGTTTTACAATAATAACCTTTTTTGTTATACTCGTATACAATATATTATATTTTATTATATTACAACTTATTTTATACTTTAAATTTGTTGTTTAGTATATAGTAATTTATTTTAAAACATTTAATTAAAAACATATTTTGAAAAAGCCAGAGGGGCAAATGCCTCAGCTAGCCCCCCCTAAGGGCGCCTATGTTACATTTGATCGTTATAACTTATAATAAATCTTAAACATTTAGATACGAATATATGATAACTGCAGATGATATTACAAATATAAATATATTAAACATTAAAATCTATGATTTTGCTTGTTTCTTAAGATTTCTGATTTTTAATACCATCATATATCCTACAGTAGTCGTGCAGTAGTCGTGTAGTGTAGGTATGTATAAAATTATAAAAACAATTAAATTGATTTGACTACCTATTCCACATTAGGAATAAAACTATCCACCATATAAAACTATAGACAACTAATTTATAACTCAAACATTTGTTTTTCAATTAATACGAAAAATAAATAAATTATAAGAATCGCAAATTATTCTTTATAGATTAGAATCTTCTTTTGTAATATTTATGTTTCATACTCAATTTTTTTTTTTTGAAACTTCGCATATAAAAATAATTTATTTATTGTATTTGGAGAAATAAATATAATATAATAATTGTTTACCTGCTGAAGTTTTTCGTTTGATCGCTTTAGTTGTTTCTCAACAGAACACAATCTCCGATTAATATTATCTTCCGTACGACAAATCTGCCGTTTTAACTTTTTCGTATTGTGGTCTAATCGAGCTTCTAATTCTTTGAAAAAGGGTGCACAATAACATGTGTACCCTACTCCTACTGGTCCTTTTCTAATGTTTCCAGCCAAGTCTAGATAATATTGTTCACCTGCGTGCAAGGGTTCTTCAGGCAACGAGTTCAACTTTGGTTTCGGGAACTCCTTGGTATCCGGAAAATAATGGCAACCGTAGGGAGACCATTGTTTTTTAATATTCGTATCGGTTCGTTTTTTACTCTAAAACCATTATTATTACAAAATTAACTATACTTATTATGATTATTTAAATATAAATTCACATACATCCTTTGAATCTTTTTTCGTTTTTGAACTGCTGCCTTTCTTTTTGTACAGGGGATTATTTAAAATTTCTATAATATCAGTCAAATTTTTACGTTCTGCAATATCTCTGGCAGTTTCGTTTTGCTATAAAATAAAATAAAATACAACAATATTAGGTTTTATAATGTTTAAGAATATTATAATTTTTTTTAATACTTTTCCCACATAATTATAAAATACAATTGATCAATTTTGTTTCATTAGAATTTAGTAATTCAAAATGATATATTGATATGAATAAATGATAAACGTACATAGGTATCTACAATCTAAATTGAATATAATATTTTAAACATTTTGTGATATACAGTTTAATAATAATACTATACGCATTGTATGACTTAGTACTTAAATATTGTCATTAAATAATTATTTAATGTTTCGCTTGAATAGACAAAATAAATAAAATATTATGTGCATATAGTAACAATTTACCTTATTTTTTAATGCAATATTACATTTAGCTTGCAAAATTATTTTAGTTAATTTCTTCCTGGCCATAGCTGCGGCAATATGTAGTACCGTATCACCATTCTATGTCACATTAAAAAAAAAAATATCAATTTATCAGTTTATAGTTTATTATTACGATCTTAAACGTGCATCAGTTTGTTAAACATATCTTTTACATACTTTATTTTGCTCAGAAACTTTACACTGAGCACTTATTAATATTCTCAGTACTCCGGCGTGTCCATACCGGGCGCTTGTATGAAGTGGTGTATCACCATACTGAAACATTGAAAGGTAACAATAATTATTTAGGCACTAAATAAATTTCACTTTTTACACTTTTATAATTTTATAAATTTAGGTCTGAATTTATATATTATATATTTATATTATTATAATTATTAATTACCTAATATACTTATTAGTATTAATTTGAGATTTGAAATTTAAATTAAGAACAATCATTTTAACTATCCTTTTGACTTTTAAGAAAGATAAAGAACTGTGTAATAGATCTGTTCAAAAGTACCTTACACATAGCACATTATATTATGTCAATAAAATCACACCCAGTGTTCAAAATGGACACAGGCGTATCTAAACTAATTTAACGGTTTGTTTTATAACCTGCAAACAAAAACATGCATTACGGCTATCAAAGCGTTTATAATGGTTGAGACTATATATATACTCTGGCGGGATAAGCGAAATTGCGAAATAGATGACATTAACCAAAATACTGGAACCATTAATTGAGTTCCTGATGGATTTGTTCCAGAAAATTGAAGTACTTATATATATAATACTTAAATATATAATACTGCCTAAAAACGTATTTTTGTTAGTTACGTTTATCAGTGCATTGTTTGTTTTATAAATGTTGTCAAAAGATAGGCGATTGTTGTTGTATATGGAATTAAGCAATACAATAATCACCCACACGATGATCATTTACAGTGTATCTTTATTGTGTAGAGCAAGCTTAAAAAGAAAATTAAAAAAAAAAAAAACGAGAATAAACTAAGTTGAAAAAATAATATGACATATTATGTACATAATCAGTAGAACCAGTACAACTTACTGTACAAGTTATATGAAGTCATCTGACTCCGGTTTATATAATTATATAAAATATAAATCAATATCAAAACTCAAAAGCACCGAATCACCATCGTAGAAATATAATATATATATATATATATATATAGGCGTATATTATAATCTTAACGTTTACTATCGTCAGCCGTATATACAATATATACCTACCTAACTCGCTTACTCGTGATGAATATTAAGCAATGAGCACATCATCTTTATAAAGATGACCGTTGTTGCAAAACAATAAAACATACACAGTATTTACTTAATACTTATTATATTTATATAACACATTACACATATCTACAATATAGGCACGCAAAGCCACATACCATCACGCAATTAAATCTAATCTATAAATGCATACATTATATAATAGGAATAATAAAGAAAAAAAAATTTTTAATATATAGTTTTATACTAAGAGATAATAAAAAAATAAATAAATATAGTTTTAACTTTTAACAATAGTTCAACTATTCAACTGCAGCTAGAGTACCTGTATCTGATTATGCAATACATTAACATGTCAAACTCGACTTTCTTTAAGTGAGCATATAAAGATTAGGTTATAAGATATTATTTTACGGCTTACGTTATTTTGGACATCCGGATTACATCCGGCAAGTAAGAGTTCCCGACAACTTTGGTTGTGTCCGTTCTGGCAGCATAAATGCAATGCAGACGATCCCCCATAATTCTTGCGGTCCAAGTCGCTGCCGGAAGATGCGAGCAACGCCACTGTTTTGCTATAACCTTTCCAGCTGGCCTCGTGCAGGGCCGTATTGCCATGCTATATTATAAATACAACCAGAGTTATTATAACAAATATGAACTATTAATTACTATAAAATTTAGGTAAGTAGTAAGTATTATACGTAACTACTAAAGTACTAACTATATTAGTATCAAAATATATATACATTCAAGAACGTATATAATCCTATATCGTATTATTAATAATTAATTACCGTAGCACTTCTTATAGAGAAAAAATATATTGTCCAAGCGGAATATCGCGTGGCGCATTATAAATCCTGCGAACGTGCAGGCGCTCACAAGTTAAACTATAAGTTTTCCTCCCCAACACCAATATATCAATTTAAGCTCACCAGGTTGTCGTGCAGGTTAACGTTGGCGTCGTGTCGCAACAACAGCCGCAGTACGTCCAGGTGACCTTCAGCTGCGGCGATTTGCACGGCTGAATAGCCGACCGTATCCTGGGCGTTGGCATCCACGGAACCGGCGGCCAATAGTTCGGCAACCGAGTCACTATCGCCCGTCGAAGCAGCGTAGTGCAGGGCCGTTCTGCCATCTTCTAGCATTGGTTTCTCAGCCGGGTTCAGATCCACCATTCCAAGGTTTTGGCATTATCTACAGGAAAACGGAACATATGGTGTAATTAATTTTTTCACTTCAAATATGCATTTATGCCAAATTATAAAAATAAATATTTGAGGAGTGAGATTTCAGGGTAGGTTTGCTTTAATATAAATGGTTTTTACGCAGTGATTTAATGGCACTAATGTTATATACTTATATGTTATATCCGACACCACTGTTGTAGGTACCTATGTATATATTAAATTCTTACCTACTTACAAATAAATTGTAAGTTATGAACTTTCTATATATTATATAATATGGCTATTTATAAAATTTTATTTATGAGTATACTTAATATATATATATGTTTATTTTAGTACTGTGTTAGGGGAACGGTGGGTTGGGACACGTTTTGTATGTGTAGCAAGGATTTGTTGCTAAAAACCTTAGTGATCATCCATCCAAGAGCTAGTATTACCAGTCGGTAATGTACTCAAAGTATTTCCGCAGTTGAGCGTATACTACCGTGCCACACCAAACTACATATTTTATATTTATCTGACATAATAGTTTGCTTCCTACCAAGTACCAATCATGCTGCATTTATACAGCTAAAATAAATGTATTATCTATACCTTATGGCTTATACTATTATAATATTACTCTACACAATACCAATTACGGCAGAAACCAACCAATTGATTAGATTGATTGATTGATTCGATTGATAGGATGATGTGCCTTGGCAATGAGCACCCTCACTTGTTTATTATACATCAATAAATATTGTATTATTACTATTATGTATCTAAAAATGTAAATGTTTATGTCTCACTATATAATATTATATCATGTGTTTGTATTATTACTATTGTCTCCATAAAATTTMTATTTGTAAAGTTGGGTAACTGTAACACCTACTTAGGTTAAATTTATATATTTTTGTACATAATATGGGGGTCACAGCTCGTAATAAATAAATAATAATAATAAGAATATAGGTATAGTAAGTACTAGATTATATTTTGATTCATAATCCACATGTTATATCTAATTATTTAAGTATCATTAATAAGTGAAGAATAAATAAACTAATATATCTTTTATTTTTTAATAGGTACTTAAATATTAACTATTGTATTCAAACATAGGAAATTAAATTGTTTATAGAAATAATGGTTTTTAAAATTTAAAATAATATTTTTAAATTAGTGTTCAAGAATTCATAAGAGCAGAATAAATATACTTTTGCTATATACATTAATACATCGCGCGTACACGAGAGGTGCATATTTGGGCTATACGTAACGATTTTCTAGTAAGTTAAAATAAAGTTAACGCGTAATTAAATTTTGTTACAAAACGGTTATAAAAGCTTCCGAACTTTCGAACCTGGGGTGCTGACCTGACGTARCTGAATATTTATTTAAAATATAATATAATAAATAATAAAATAATATATAATACTATTTCTATTTAATGTGCCAATATATAATATGCACGAGTGTGACGTGTTAAAATAGATATGTTTTTATAATGGCTATGGACGTTATAGATATAGAAATATACGATGGTTTAGTAGAACGTAGAAAACTCGGTATAGTTTAAGTAGAATGAGCATAATATTTTAATAAGTAATAAGAATAACTACATGTAAGAAGTGGGTCCCGGAGTATAAGGGGGCGGTAACTTACAGTTGATGAGTGAAAGCCATCACTAGTGTGTATATTATACTATATGTGTATGACATAAATGTTTATTGCTATGTGAAAAAGATGTTTATTTTTAATTTTAATAATATTTACTCGATATAATTAATTTAAATTAATGAATCAACTTTAATAAGACAATATTATTATTTTACTAATTAATATTATGATATGCATAAATTAGTAGTAACTCATAAGTACCTAATACATATAATAATATCCTTATAAAATATAGTAATATGTTGTAAAACTTGTATTGGGTATTGATTAAACGTACTTAATAGGTAGTTCTTAACTTATTACTCATTAATTTTTAGTATCCAATGCGTTCAGTGACAAACCTAGCTGTGTTACGAGTGAGGGAGACACATCACTATAGTGGCTCGAATATAGCGTGTGATTTAAAAAGTATATATATTTGATAATTTCATAAACCTCCTTTCCTCTCTATAAAGATACAATTTAGTGTAAGTCACTTGAGTCCTATACTTTTAATTAATTTAATAAATCTTAATTTTATTTATATATTTATAGGTATTTCGTGTCTTCATTATTTAGCAACTATTTTTAAGGACTATTATCCTTAGCATAACAATTTTAGTAAACGTGAAACTACTCATTCGGATTTTTAATCTGGTACATCAACATCTTCAAATAATTTACAGTAAAAATAGAGGATTTTAATTTGAAAAACAGAAGTTTGTGTCGTCATACAACACTGTTGAAATAAAACAAAATGTTTCATGCGTTTGAAAAATAGTCACTAAGTATATTTAAAAGTTTCAAAAACTGCAGAATTTAAATAAATATATTATTATATGGAAAATGGGGATGAGCATGCTTGGTGAATCATTCAACACAATAAAGACTGTCTGGTACGCGCATACATTGTGATAGTTGTAGACAATTTAGAAATAAGTTACTACAATGAAATATAATATGTTTTCTGTATAACAATAAAGTATGTACTATGTAATGTGGCTAATAAAATTATAAATGATTTTGAATTCCTATACAACACGTGAGATATAATGTTTAAGTGTAATAACATTTAAAAGCTCATTTTAGATTTTTTTAAARTAATTAGAACATATTATAGTATCATTATTATTTTACAACTGTAAAAATGAATAGAGTTTTAGGTGTTACTATACCTAAGTCCTCAGTGAAAAAACTTTTGGTTTTATAATAACGAATCGCATAGCAAACTATGTAGTATACTGCACTTAGATGTCCGTTTCCCTTACTGATGAAACATTGAAAATATCGCATACGTACGCACCACTATTGTTTAATTCTTTACTTTTACTTTAGTTTAGCCTTGAGAACAGATATATATTATATATTTATATATTTAGGACATAGGTTGTAATCATTGGGTTCCTAATTCGAATCTTATTCAATTAGTTACTAGAAMTGAAGAATTGTATACGCTGCAGGTGTATAGTATACAAAGTCATTAAATAATATATGTAATCGTATTTATACTCCAGGACAGACGGAGATTTATTAAAATATATAAATTCATTTTATATTCTAAATTAATATATTTATCCTTAGTAGATTTATGTAAAGTAAATACTATAACTTCTACTAGATATATCTATATGATTTAATTTTACCACGTCGTCATGTCGATTATGTTTAAATTTCTCTTTTTATTACATATATAGTTTTGTGTATGGAGATACGCGCACATTCTACATTTATAAATTCTCTAAACAAAAAAAATTAAGCTAAGAAAATTGATATTCATGAATTTTAGTAAGGTACGATTTGTCTATAGATAAAATAACGTACCTACCCATAAAACAAAAACAACTGAATCAAAATGTAATGTTATGTTACTTTATATATATATACTATTAATTCAAACAATATACTTTACACTCGGCGTATTATCAATAGAAAAAAGAACTTAAATAAGTCATTAGACTAATTATATGAATTTAAAATGCGATGAAATTCTAAAATGAGAATGTTTTATATCAACTTGCCATCATGTTTAAAAATGTTTAAAAAAAACAATATTTATGTTAAAACTGTGGCGGCACTAAATTGTGGAAGCTTTGAAGCATATATTGTATATTTTAAATATTTTTATCACCACCCATAATTAGCAGTGGTGGCCAAAGGGCTTTCAGACACGAATGCTTCATATAATTCTATATCCCGTCACCACTGTGTTGAAGTATTAATGCGTTTATATATTCTTTAATTACAATAATATTGGATTTACATTATTTTTACACAGCCTTTTAAATTCTAATTTGTTATACATTATACACTATAATACCCATTAAGTACTTATTGTATAATATCGTTACTAAATACTAATGTCGATTTTAGTTTCAAGTTTCAACATTATGCGGATGACAAAGCCATCATATCATTTGACAAAAACCCTATTACGGCCTCASMAAATCTTCAAACTCATCTCRACCTAATGTCTGAATGGTACACCGATTGGCGCATTAAACCTAATCCCAATAAGTCAGTACATACAACATTCWCTTTATGCCATTCCATTTGTCCTAATGTCTATTTAAATAACATACTTATCCCCACGTCTGACTCAGTTAGATATCTTAGACTCAACTTGGATAAGCGCCTCACTTGGAATAGCCATATCCGTATAAAAAGACTTGCCTTAAACGCCCGTCTTCGCAGACTACGAACGCTACTCACAATTAACAAACACTCCAGTTTAAAAAAATATATATATATATATATATATATAAATAACTATAAAAGTTCTTATGTATAAAACATTACTCAAACTTATATGGTCTTCAACTATGGGGTACAGCAAAATTGTCCAATACTAAAAAAATTCAACAATTTCAGAATATTGCTCTTCGGAAAATTACTAATGCTCCACCCTTTGTTTCGAATTACACTATACATAATAACCCGTCAATTAAAACCGTGACAGAAGAAGCTATACGTTTCTACAAAATYWTTCATSCCCGGCTGSAAAYACACCAAAACCCACTCATTAAAAACCTATCCACCCTAACATTACCTGGCAACCCCAAGCGTCGATTAAAAAAAAAAGGAGCTGGTGCCGTGACTTGTTAGGGAACTATAATATCAAAAAAAAAAAAAAATAATAATAATAATAAAAAATCAGTATATATAAACATAGCTAGTTTTATACAACCTCCAGTCAAGTGCCATTAATGGGTGGCTTCTTACTCATGTACTCATGTATTATATGTAACCCTTATCAAATATGCTAATTGTGCATAATTGTACAGAATGTATATATTATTGTGTAAATAAAAAAAAAAAAAGTTTCAACATGATAAAATAACAATGGATCAAATAAATACCTAT